CTAAACTGAATACTGAGAGAAAGGAGGCAGAGTCAGAGAGAAGCCATGTAGCCCTGCTGAACACGGACGCCAGAACTTTATGTGGTAAGCCACAGCCACATGGCAATATACAGATTACTAGAAATGGGTTAAATTAAGATATAAGTGTTACCCAATAAAAAGCTAGAGCTGATGCTCCAAGCAGTAATTTAAATGATATAGTTTCTGTGTGCTGAGATGATGAGCAGCCGGAAACCAACAAGCAGCCTCCTCCAACATTAAACAGAGAAAATAAAAGGAGTCACTGCTCCTTTTTTCTTTCTTTTTCATTTCAAAGTTTCTACCAGTGTATTCAGCAATGGGCAGCAGAGGGACATGCTGTAGAGTGTTTTATTGCCTAGTTGACAAAGCTGCTTTTGAATGCTGGTGGTTCTGTTCCTTTGACACTACGTACTTTAAAGGTTCACTTCAGTGTATATAATTGAACACCCATCCATCTGTGCATTATTTTTTTTTGTAATGGTGCTTAAAAAGCCCATCCTTTGCAAGTCATCGATATTGTTTCTTAGGCATTTTATCTTTGCTTAATTGTTAAAAAATGGTGGCTTGTTTCATGAGTTTTGTATGTGTGTCTAATGCATGTTTTAACATGATAGCTGCAATGTATCTGTAGCTACAATTTTATGAAAAAAGTTTTTCGGATTTTCAAATAATTCTTTCCTTTAAATTTCAAAAAAAAAAAATACATGATTTACCGGAGCCAAACAGAAAGTCCAATAAAATGAATAGAGTTGTTTTGGTTTACAGATTTCTGGTTTGATTTGTTTTTTGACTAGCATATAAATAAACAAGGTTTTGGATGAGTAGCCAATCAAGGCATATACTTGCAATGTGTCAAAAGAGTGAGAAATGAGATAAGGACACACTGCTAAGAGTTTTGGAGGGAAAAAAGTAAATCAAAAGACCCAACTATATGCAAAGGTATGACAATACAGTCATAGTAGATTTCTTTAGAGGATGCAAGGGGGCTAAATAACTTTGGAGAGGCACTTTCAATGGTCACAGAAAATTAAAGAATTTTGACACTATGATTTTGTAACTTAGATTTCACATAGAGTAAAGGAAAATGAATTTGGGATGTGCCCTGAGCTCCAGGCAAGCAGAAAGCAGTGGATAAATACTTGCATAATCAGGACGTAAAGAAACACATACAGGATATTAGGCATTAGGCATACAGAATCTAGCATCAAAGCAAGGGAGGAGAATATCAGGGTTGGAAATTCTGAAGTAGACCTGAGTGCACAGAGTTTGTGATCTCCAGGACAGCTATAATAGGGGAGCACATACTGTTGAGTTATGAAAAATAGAATGTAAGCTTTACCAGTTTGAAACAAGCATAGTTTCAAAACAGAAAATGAATCACAATATCATAACATTTAGTTCATTGGTCATAATGTTTACATGGTTGAAAATAACACAAAACATTTTATTTGCCCCTGTGTAAACACGTGTTTAAGTATGTGCATGTACATGCTTATATTTGTGGGCACCAGACTACCCATGGGACACACATGGAATTCTGAGGAAACTTTGAGTGCCAGTTCTCATAACCCATTTTGTTTGAGACAAGATACATCAGGCTAGCTGGTCTGGATGCTTCAGTGTCTCTGCTTTCTATCTTGCTGTAGAGAGATTGGAGATGTGATCTACTATGCCTGTTTTGCCTACATTTTGGGGATTTGAAATCAGATTCATATGTTTGTATGAATAATTCTTGTTCACTGAGACATCACTCTAGCCATGCAAATTTCAATATCAATAGCACAAATGATTCTAAAAAGAGTATACTAAAAAGAGATAGATAAAAGTTCAAGGCCAGCCTGGTCTACAAGAGCTAGTTGCAAGACAGGCTCCAATTTCTTATTTTTTAAAATAGAATATAGAATGGTGTCATAATGAATATCTAAAATATATACTAGAAAAACATGTTTAAAATAGTAAAATAAATACCCCAAAAGGGAGGGGAGAACAAAATAAACTTTTAAAAGTAATTAACAAAGAAATAATGTACCACAGTGCATATGCATGTGTGTGCATGTGTATATGTGTGTGTATGCATACATGTATTTGTGTACATCCATGCACATGTGAAGGATTCTTAAGGAAGCTGTTAAGCAAAATATTACAGTATTTTTGTATTTAACAGCTATGATATGTATTGAAATTGCAGGGTACAAAACTGATTTTGTGTATTGTTTAGACACACTTAAAATCATTTAGAAAACATATGCTTTATTTTTAGCTTTTTTTAATAAACAGTTTTTGGCTTATAGATTGCATGCTTCAATCCTAGTTTCTCTGAGCATGTTTAGGCTCTTTAAAGCTTAACATATGCATTAATTATCTAGAGAGGGAAGTAGTGATATTCTTTATGAAATGTCTAGAGTTTGTTACAGATGACAGAGTCATTTCAGACTAGAATACTACATTCTGATTTTTAAATTTGATAATGGGCACACTCTGACTTTTAGACTTGATAATCCACACTTGAAGAGGAGGTTATCTCATACACAGAACATGATTGCTGAGAAACAAATAGAACAGATCACCCATCTGGTACTTAGGATCAGTTTTCTGTGCTCACACCTTAGTGGAAAGTGTCACAGGAAAATGGAATGCGCTAACTACATTTCCTAGATCAAGTCCAGTTGTTGAAGAAGAAAACAACCGAAAAAAAACAGATACTTTTTTTTAGTAATGTAGATAACTACTGGATAAGGTAAGAACCTTTATATTTTCTTTGCTCACCTTGCACTTTATTAGTGAAGGATATCTCTTGAAGAGCAAACATCACCAATTACTTTTCCTGTAAAACCTCTTGAGTAAAGCTGGCATTTCGTTGCCAGAGACCATTGTAGTCAAAGACCCCAAGGTGAACTTGGAGCTACTTGAAGACAGAACTGAGCAGGTGGACTGAGAAATGTAAACCACGTTTACAAACATAATTCCAAAATTATAATATTTAGCAGTGCTGAACTAAAAGGCAGTTTGTTTTTTAATGTTTTCAAGGTAAGGGATTCAAGTGTAATAAATGAGGGGGGTCCCACTGTTGACCTTATTTCTCTAAAATTAGGAGTCAGAGATCAGCAAAACTCTCACACAGAAATCACAGCTTTGATTAGACTATCACTTCCCTATTCTATCTTTTCTTTCTTCCCATAATTATTTAAAAACTATGTATATATACATATATCATACATGCGTATATATCTCATCTCATATCATATCATTCCCCCTTTGCCAGCTTCTTCCAGATCCTCCCCCTCCATCCCGGGACAGTTTCATTCTTTCTCTCTCTGTCTTTCTGGTCTCTGCCTCTCTCTTTTCCTTTTTCTTGATTTGGGGTATTGTTTTGTTACATATAAAATGGAATTTCAACTTTCCCTCAACTTATTGTATATGAAACCCCTCAGGTCAGTTTACACTATCAGATAACTGATTTCTTAGCTCCCTAAATCAATTCTTCCACAGGAACTGCCTCGGGATAAATTTAATCTCTTGGGTTAATAGCTATTTTTAAAACAATTTATAATTTGTACCACAAATTTTTACAGGCTTACAGGTCTCTTGCTGTTCCCATAAAGTCTTTAGGAAAAGTAGGGTAAATATTTCAAATACAGACACATTACTGGTAGATCTAATTGCTCTGGTAATGACATTGAACCCTTTCAATTTCCCTTTGAAGATAGTCTATACTGTCATAATGCAATGTTTTTCTACTCAAGAGCTTGTGGTAGCTACAAAAAAAAATAGCAATGAGTGATTCTTTAAATAGAAGAGCTATATTTGTGGGCTTTCAATGCTGATATTCAGTGACCACTAATTTCACATCTTACCAGAGAGAATTGTATTTTTATTTATTACGATGTAGAGGGAGTTTGAGACTCTTAAAGCTGACTGCAATATGATTTAGAGGAAAACTTAAGAGTTTTCTGGACCAGGTGGACAGAAGTAGTCTACAGGCCTACACTGAACAGAGTTATAGAATTATATTTATTTGTTTCTTTAATAAATTATGAGATATTTCCTGCCTTTCTCATTTGGGACTAGAAGTGGGGGAGTATCCACGGGGAGTATTATCAGAGATTATTCAGCATGCAGAAAGTTTGAAAAGATCTTGATCTTTCATTCAAAGAGAACAGCCAGAGAAGCATCACAGGATCTGTTTCCATAGTAATTGCTCCCGATCACATGACTGGATATCAGGATGAGTAAAAAATGTTAATATGTATTTACATCCATATACAAGCACACATGTGTCTGCATATTATATACATATATGTATGTTTATATGTATGCATCTAATACCTAATAAATATATTAAAACAGAATGAGTGAGGAACATTAATTCTCTGAGAAATAGTGTGATTTTTTAACATTTTGAAAAACAGATATTTAAATAATCTTAAATACATGAATAAAGTAGGCAAACTGATGTTTCTTTTTAAAAGATAAAGTGACGTTTCTTTCTCAATTTGACATTAAAGTTATCATCATAAAATACCTCAAAATCCCAATTCTAATCACTATTGATTACTCCAATTATTGAGTCATTGTTCATATATATCCTAAACTTTAGTGCTAACAAAACTACAGCTATTTATAATTTGTGAGTACTAATATTGTCAGTCTGACAGGATGTAGAATTAGTGATGAGACCAACTTTGAGCTTGTTCATGAGGGAGCTTCTTACTAGGTTAACTGAGATAGGAAGAGCTCCCCTAAATATGCACAGTATAGGGCTGTGTTCACGGAAAAACATTAACCTAGCAGCAGTGTTCATGTCTCCTTACTTCCTGACTGTAGATGCAAAATAAGCCTTCAGCTGCACCAAGCTACTGTGACCAGGACTTCTCTGCCACTGTGCCCCCAGATGCTCCTTTACTCAGCTGCTTCCTTTCAAGTATTTGGTCACAGAAACAAGAAAAGGAACTAATACATAAATTAGAAGAGAGTTTTACCGAAGACAGTCAGCTCTGCAGGGTCGCTGTCTCTTTCTCCCACCATATTGGTGCCCACACAGGTATACATGCCTGCATCACTTTTCCTGGTATTTGAGATCATCAGTTTTCCACCTCGGATCTAGATGAAATAAACAAATGGAAAAGAAAGAGAAAAGAAAGAGGCTCTAGTTAATAATTTTGATTTTTTAAGGTCTGCCAAACTTATTGCTGAAAAATAATTTTTATTTTTTATAGAATTTTGATTACAAGTAAAATGACTTGAATAAACCATTGTATTTAGAGATGGTTTGATATATAGCAAAAGCCAACGAGTCTCTTTTCAAAAGCACAACTCAACACAAAACCATAAAGACCAAATTCTCATTGAAGTGGTAACGCTTCATAATAACAGCAAAAGCAGAAACATTTGAATATATATTGCAATATCTATCTAGTATCTAGATTTTGTATAATGGTGCCATCTCAATGTATACATGACATAAATTCATATAAAATATATAATTAAATATTCCAAGTAACACATGACTTTTTTTTAAATAATGTTGTAGCATATTTTTTTTTTTATTTTGCACCGTGAGGATTTGTCTTTGGCAAGGCACCTTCTGATTGGCTTAATAAAGAGCTGAATGGCCAATGGCTAGGAAGGAAAGATAGGCAGGAATTCCTGGGAGAGAAAGAGGAAGAGGGGCCAAATCTAGGTGCAATGCAATGCCAGCAAGATGTGGACCAAGTTGGCCCTACAGAATGATAGAGAGGTAAAAAGGCCATATGATAGAACACAGATTATAGAAGCATGTTAATTTAAGTTATAAGGGCTAGCTGGGGACAAGCCTAAGCTAAAGGCCAACCTTTCATAATTAATAAGATGTCTTTGTGTCATTATGTTGAGTTGGAGGTCCCAAAAGAGAATTTAGCAATAAAATAACATATGTCTAGTCAAATGAAACATTTATTTTTAATAAAATACATTAATTCTCAGTCATTGTATTTTATCTAAATGATGAACTTCTAAATAATATCTAATGTAAATTTTATTTCAGTGAAGTCCTCATTTCCTTTTATAATACTGAATCTAATATAAAATGAGAGGTTGCCTTTAAGCTTAATGGCTACATTTATATTTTAATATCAATGTATGAAGCATAAATGACTGCTAGAAACCTCTAGAGAGTGAAGATATTAATATTACACTACAAAATCACAATTACATATTCAAATTGGTGCAATTATTAGTATAACATAGACATTTATGATTGCCTCACCGAGTCCCATCCAAAATTTAATATGTGGTATATCGAAAATTAGCATTTAGACCAATTTTGGTATTAATATGTTAACAGAGTTCATTCCGATGTGAAACTCAGTGTCTCTAGACTTTCTTGTAAATGGACTCACACTTATCCTCTCTTCCTTGTCATCAATTCGGACTTTATCTTTCTTCCAGTAGATGGTAGGTTCTGGGTGTCCTCGTGGGGGCTGGCACTCCAAGATTGCAGGCTCTCCAGCTGCCACTACCACATCTGTGGGGTTTTGCCGGAAGTCATCTCGCAATACTGAAGAAAAATTAAAACAGGTAAAAATATTCTTAATGATACTATTCCATTTTGTCTTGCCAACATTCACTTCAAGTCTTAGCCATGTGATAAATGCTGGGTATTTCTAGTGCACATAGCCATATCTACTAGAAAAATATGTCAAATCCAACCTAAGTGCTCACTGATAGAGAAAGAGCTACTGGGGGGGGGGGGCATTCACATACATTGGTTCTAAAATCCAGTTTTAAAAATAATATATCAAACATCAATGAAATAAGATATTTTTGATATAACTCTGAGCTGTAATAACCATGCAAAGTATGAAACATTTCACATAATGTAGATTTACTTTCTATTAAGAAAAGTGTATATGGGTATGTGTTCATGAGTGCATTACAATAAATGTCTAAGATAAATTAAACCCTGAAGCAAGCTGTACACAGGTCGCTTATGATCCTGTGTACACTTGGGTCTATGAGGAGGGAGGAGGGAGGACTTTGAGAAGCTCTCTTGCTTGTGACATGAATGTGGGTCACGGCTTTCCACACTTCACTAAGCAAACACATTGTTGACTTTTGCAACGCCCTAGCACCCACGTACGAGGGTTTTGTTTCAAAACCCTCTGCATCCCCACCTGCCAAGTGACATCTGGGAAGCATGACATGCGGAACAGAGATACCCTTTATGGCACTGTTGCAGCCCGAATCATCCCTCTTTTTATTAGCAAGGAGAACAGCAGGTTGGACCTCTGATACAACCTTCAAAAATCTGGCATGCGTTAGGTGTCCAAATGTTACACATCTATTAGTGTGATCCGTTCTTCTGCTGGCAAGATGGGAAGTCTGCATGCCCTATCAGATGGAGAAGAATGGAGTGTGTTTGGCAAACAGTGGCCCTAAGTATTTTAGTAAAAACATTCAAAATAGGAGTTGAGATTAGCTAACATGATATTTACCTTCACTGTTCGTGTTTCCCAATCACATTCATTTTCCTTTTCTTTGACATTCCAGCACTCACAAGCTTTGTTTTCTCTTACTCAGTGAGTTTTGTTTAGTTTTTTTTTTTTTTTTTTTTTTTTTTGGTTTTTTGACACAGGGTTTCTCTGTGGCTTTGGAGCCTGTCCTGGAACTAGCTCTGTAGACCAGACTGGTCTCGAACTCACAGAGATCCGCCTGCCTCTGCCTCCCGAGTGCTGGGATTAAAGGAGTTTTGTTTAGTTTTGTGTTCTTTGAGGCAGCCTCACTATGTAGCCCAGGTTTGCCTCAAATCAATGATTCTATGATTCTCCTATATGTCAAGTATTATGATTTCAGGCACATAGTACAATCTAGCAAACAAAGTTTATTTTAAAGTATGTAAAGCTAAAATTTATATCTATCACCTTTCTTCCTTCCTTCCTTCCTTCCTTTCTTTCTTTCTCTATGTCTATCTATTTATCTATCTATATCATGTAACTACCTGCATATACTCTTCTATTATCTATAGTACATGTACACACATGAGGCATGTCTGTTTCTATATGTATATGATGATGATGCATGTTCATATAAATGAATAAATGTGTGTATATAATATATATCTTCTATGTGTATATAACACATATATCTTCTATATGTGTATAACATATATATCTTCTAAAACTGAATATATATATATATATATATATATATATATATATATATTAGATAACCTACCTCATATAGCCTGTAAGAGAGAACAACTCTTGGCATTAAGGATTATATTAAGACAGCTGCCCTCCCTATCCCATTTTATGAGATCCATCTAGCCTTTTCTTTGTTGTTTGAAGTCTCTAGGTTAGTTTTTATTCTCCAAATTAAAAGAAAAAAATCTCTTCTGAAAATAGCCCCAGAGAGACAAGTGGATAACTTTTCAGGTTTTTTTTTCCCTCTCTTTCTTCTCATAACACATCTTTTAAGACAGTTTTTCATCTTAATGAAATCATTGCCCCGTAAGAGAAAAGTTTGTTTTCATTGCAGGAAGAGAAGCAAAGGTTCCAAATTGTTCACTATCAGCTTAGAAGCAGATTCATTTAATGCTTTTCTCCTAAGGACAGGCGTTACACATTAGCACTAAGAACTGCACAGGTTTTCTTTTTTTTTTCCCTCTTATCTAACAGGCAAAGGACATGTGACATTTATGCATAAGGACTGGCTTCTGAATGAAGAGAGGGAGGTGTACATTTTGACATTCATACAGGGGATGAGAGGGTTAACATTGGGGTTTCCTCTTGTAGGTATATGCTTCAGGGAGAGCTAGCTGGTGACTCATTTATATTCCAAATAGAGAACAGCTGCCTATTTATGCAATGCTAAGAAGTGCAAAAATATGGTAACAGGGTGATGAAGCCCCTCTGTTATCCGGTCCTGGCAACAAATGGTGTTTTGGCCGACCCTCAAGCTGTTCCAAAATGGCACATCTGGCCATCTGAAGGCCCTTCATCAGATCTTGCCTCCTAACGACATGGCAAATAGCCTTAGCTCAAATGGTACTAAAGATCACTGCAAAGCATTCACAGAACCAGTCTTACATGCGTTTGTAACAATTTAAATTTTGTAAAAGAGCTCTTTGACCTAGTGAACAAAATGAGGAAAAATATCATAACGAAGTATAAGGACTGCTTCTCTGAAGCAATATAACATGTGTTTATGCATTCAAAAAAAAAAGGAAAATGACTCCAATTTGCACACGAAGCCAAGAAATCTAACATCATCTGTAATTTTAGGCTTTCAGGCTGTTCGCTCAGAGAGTAGGGTGAGATAATGGTATAATTGCTACTGTACCCTCTTCAACTTGTAATATGCTCTTTGGGGTTTGCATGTAATGCAGCTAACTCGCATGTTCCCAGTCACACCAGTTCATTTGCTTCGAATTGTGGGGTAAAACTTGTCTCACTCATGCTAAACTTAAAGCAACTGCACATTACTTCTGACAGGACAGTTTACCAGACTGAAATTTTCATTTTTTCCCCTCTTTTGCTGCCTATGTAGGTGTGTATTGTAGAGCCTATGCCACCAAAGTGAAGCATTCTATAGTGGAAGAAGTTTCCTTACTTTTCGGGAAAAAAAAAAATAAAACTCCCAAGGTAAATGAAATAAAGTAACTACAGTTTTAAAAACAAATAATTTTGTTATTTTGAGACTAGAATTACATCATTTTCCACTACCTTTTTCATCTTGCAAACTCTCTCATATGCCCCTTTTGATCTTTTTCAAATGCATCACCTCTTTTTAGTTAAGTGTTGTTACACACACACATGGATACACACACACACACACACACACAAGTACAACCTGCTCAGTCGGTATTATATTTTTCTTATATGTGTTTTTTTTTTTCAGGGCTGACTATTCGCTGTTAAAAAACACGTGGATGAAGGAAAATAGGAGGCCCTCAATTCTACATGAAGCAGTAAGGTAACTAAGGAATGATGAAAGCAGGAAAAAGAGAAAAATACTCTAACTCAGAAATTTTTAAGAAATGCTTGAAAATTGTAAGAATCACAAGGCTCTCCATGATTTTATAAGAGCTGGGGAGGGAAGATGTTCTAGGATGCTGATCTACCTCATATAAGGAGCTCCGGAAATGCAGCTTGCTGGAGTGGTGACTCCTGCTGAAATGTGTGTGTGTGTGTGTGTGTGTGTGTGTGTGTGTGTGTGTGTGTGTGTAACTTAGCTTTCTTTTTCTTTTTGTGTCCCCACACTCCTCAAGAAAACCCAAATCTCACTGGTCCACAAACCTAGACTTGGGCAGAACCTTCGCTCTGGACTGTTATCAATGTGCTCTTGAGGTGAACAGAAGTTAATTCACAGTTCCCAAGTACAAGTCTCTCAAGAGTCCCTGTACCTCTGTTGTCCTCTTTTCGTCCATCCCACATTAACTGATGGTCAGAGTTGTTTGAAGCAGAAAGACAGCAGCTTCTGCCCAGTCATCAGCTACAGAAGAGAGTCTCAGCCTCACAACATTTGAAGACTCAAATTACTATGAAAATCTGTCCTAGTGTGTACACAACAGCAGGAGACTTTTATAATATCCTATAAATACTCCATGTTAGTTTATTATTTTATAGCTTGCATATTTGTCTCCTCTGACTCGCCTCTCTCTCTCTCTCTCTCTCTCTCTCTCTCTCTCTTGGACTAACCACCTCTTATCTCTTTTGTCTTAGCTAATCACTTCTCTGGTTTTTATTTTTATAACCTAGTCTAGAATCATCATCCAGATAGTTCAGTCTTAGGTCATTAAAATAAATTAGCAATAAAAATAAGGTGAGCCTGAACAAGAAATGGACTTTTGAAAGATTCCATTTCTGAAACAGTACACTCAGGATCTCCAGTGAGGGCATTAGCAATGTAAAGTCTGAAAAATGTTATTGATAGAAGTAGCCATGCAGACCAGTGAATAGAGAAAGCCATCCTAAACAAACTAAATTGCTCATGAGAACGGTAATCTAAAAAGGAATTATAATGATAAGCTTGAATAACAGCGGTCCCAAGCCAAAGGTTAGAAGAGAACACTGAACCAGTGCTTGCTGAATGCAGAACATCACCCAGTGTGCGCATTGTACAAGGGCCGTGAAACTTGCACCAGAGCCACCACTAATTTCTCTACAGAAACCTGGATTCAAGTTTAACTTTCCAATCTGAAATCTCAGTGAACCACAGCACTTAGAAAGAGAGTGCTTTCTGTCTTGCATAGAATCACACCAGGAAATTATGGGCTGTTTTGCCATTTTTAATGCTAAGAATGGAACTCAAGACCTCACACGTGCTAACAATCACTCAGCTACAACTCCAGCTTCCAGGATATGCTTTACTGTAGAAACATCATATTTTATTAGCATATGTCCATTACATATAATCATGGATTTCATTTTGATATTTTCATGCCTGTACTTAATGTATTCACTCTGTCCATTACCCTGTTTCTTCCATTTCCCTCTCCTGCGAATCCCCTTCCATTCTCAACTAACTCCTCTTTTACTTTCAAGTCTTTGGGTGTTT